CATTTTGGGACATAGGCAAAGTCTCTTCAAATTCAAGAAGATAGAAATCATATCAAGCATCTTCTCAGATCATAATGGCATAAAACTGGAAATTAACAACAATGAAAAAAATCCAGAGAAATCAAACACATGGAGACTAAACAGCATGCTATTAAATAAGGACTGGGTTACCAAAGAAATCAAGGAAGAAATTAAAAACATCCTGGAAACAAATGACAATGAAACACAACTATCCAAAATCTATGGGACACATGAAAAGCAGTTTTGAGAGGAAAGTTCATATCCCTACAAGTCTATTGTAAAAAAACTAGAAAAAATGGTAACAAATGATCTAACCCTACAACTCAAAGAGTTAGAAAAAGAGCAACAAGAAAAGCCCAGGGTAAGCAGAAGGAAGGAAATAACAAAAATCAGAGTGGAGATAAACGACATAGAGACCAAAGAAACAATACATAAGATCAACAAAACCAAGAACTGGTTCTTTGAAAGAATAAACAAGATAGATGAACCTCTAGCCAGGCTAACCAAGAAACAAAGAGAGAGGACCCAAATAAACAAAATCAGAAATGTAAGAGGTGAAATAACAACAGACCCCACAGAAATACAACGGATTGTTACAAAATACTACGAATAACTCTGTTCCAACAAACTGAACAACCTGGAGGAAATGGACATACTCCTAGAAAAATATAAACTTCCAAAACTCAATCAGGAAGAATCTAAAAATCTCAATAGAGCAGTGACTTGGGATGAAATTGAAACAGTCATCCAAAAGCTTCCAGCAAACAAAAGCCCAGGGCCAGATGGCTTCACAGGAGAGTTTTACCAAACATTCAAGGAAGAACTAAAACCTATCCTCCTCAGACTATTCCAAAAAATTCAAGAAGAAGGAACACTTCTAAACTTCTTCTATGAAGCCAGCATCACCCTAATACCAAAACCAGATAAAGACAACTCAATGAAAGAGAACTACAGGCCAATATCCCTCATGAACATAGATGCCAAAATCCTCAACAAAATTCTAGCAAATCCGCTCCAGCAGAGCATCACAAAGATCATACACCATGTCCAAGTAGGATTTATTCCAGGAATGCAAGGTTGGTACAATATCCGCAAATCAATAAACGTGACACATCACATAAACAAGTTGAAAGATAAAAATCATATAGTCATATCAATTGATGCAGAAAAAGCATTTGATAAAATCCAACACCCTTTCCTGATAAAAACTCTCAACAAGGTGGGAGTACAAGGATCATACCTCAACATAATAAAAGCTATATATGATAAACCCACAGCCAACATTATACTCAATGGGCAAAAACTAAAACCATTCCCTCTAAGAACAGGAACAAGACAGGGATGCTCACTATCGACACTCCTGTTTGACATAGTACTGGAAGTACTAGCCATTGCAATTAGACAAGAGGAGGAAATAAAAGGCATCCAAATTGGAAAAGAATAAGTAAAGTTATCCTTATTTGCAGATGACATGATATTGTATATAAAAAACCCAAAAGACTCTATTTAAAAACTAATTGGCTTAATAAATGAATTTGGCGATATAGCAGGATACAAAATTAACGCCAAGAAATCTATGGCATTTCTATACACCAACAGCAAATTTATAGAAACAGAGACTAAAAAAGCAATTCCATTTACCATTGCACCAAAAAAATTAAGATACCTAGGAATAAACTTAACTAAGGAAGTAAAGGACCTATTTGCGGAAAACTACACGACACTGAAAAAAGAGATAGAGGAAGATGTAAACAGATGGAAGAACATACCATGTTCATGGATTGGTAGAATCAACATCATCAAAATGTCCATACTTTCTAAAGCAATCTATAGGTTCAATGTACTTCCCATTAAAATACCAAGGGCATATTTCACTGACCTAGAAAGAACTCTCCAAAAGTTCATTTGGAACAATAAATGACCCCGAATAGCCACAGCAATCCTGAGAAAGAAGGGTAAAGTAGGAGGGATCTCAATACCAGACTTCAAACTGTATTACAAAGCCACTGTTCTCAAAACAGCCTGGTACTGGCACAAGAACAGACATACATATCAATGGTATTGAATCGAGAACCCAGATATCAACCCAAATCACTATGCTCAATTAATATTTGACAAAGGAGGCACGAATATACAATGGAGTCAAGACAGTTTCTTCAATAAATGGTGTTGGGAAAATTGGGCAGACACATGCAAAAGAATGAAACTAGATCACCAACTTGCACCATACACAAAAATAAACTCAAAATGGATACAGGACTTAAATATCAGACGGGAAACCATAAAAATACTAGAAGCATCCACAGGCAGCAAAATCTCAGACGTATGCCAAAAGAACTTCTTCACTGATACTGCCCCTAGGGCAATGGAAGCTAAAGAGAAAATAAACAAATGGGACTACATCAAAATAAAAAGCTTTTTTACAGCAAAAGAAACCATCAACAAAACAACAAGAAAGCCCAAGGTGTGGGAGAACATATTTGCAAACAACACCACTGATAAAAGTTTAATCTCCAACATATACAGACAGCTGATACAACTAAATAAAAGGAAGATGAATGATCCAATTAAAAAATGGGCAATGGACCTAAATAGAATATTTTCAAAAGAAGGCAGAAGGAAGGCCAAAAGGCACATGAAAACATGCTCAAAGTCACTAATTATCCGAGAGATGCAAATCAAAACAACAATGCAGTACCATCTCACACCTGTCAGAATGGCCAACATCAACAAATCAACAAACGACAAGTGTTGGCGAGGTTGTGGAGAAAAAGGAACCCTCGTGCACTGCTGGTGGGAATGCAGACTGGTGCAACCACTGTGGAGAACAGTGTGAAGTTTCCTCAAAAAACTGAAAATGGAACTCCCATTTGACCCAGTAATCCCACTCCTAGGAATATATCCCAAGAAACTAGAAACACCAATCAGAAAGGATTTATGTACCCCTATGTTCATAGCAGCACAATCTACAATAGCCAGAATTTGGAAACAGCCTAGGTGCCCATCAGCAGATGATTGGATCCAAAAACAATGGAACATCATTCTACACAATGGAATACTATGCTGCCATAAAAAGAAGGAATTCTCATCATTTGCAGCAACCTGGATGGAATTGGAGAACATCATGCTGAGTGAAATAACTCAATCAATGAAAGAGAAACACCACATGGCCTCACTCATTTGTGGATAATAAAGATCATTATAAACTGATGAACCAAAAGATAGATATAGAGACAGTAAAGCAACAAGCAGTTTGTCAAATTACAGTGGGGAGGGGAGGAGGATCTGGGGGGGATAATAGATCAACCGAAGGACTTGTATACATGCATATAAGTACAACCAATGGACATAAAACTCTGGGGAGGGAGGGAATGTGTGGGAGGGAGGGAGGGAGGGAGGGGGGCAAAAAAAATCAATAAAATGTGTAAAAAAATAAAAATAAATTAATAAATAAATAATAAATAAATAAAATAAAGTAAAATAAATATGATGTGCTTACAGGCATAGATGAAAACAGCTCAAGTGCCCATCAGTAGATGAATAGATGAAAAAGATGTAGTACATTTACACAATAGAATACTATGCTGCTGTATAAGAGAAGGAAATCATATATACTATGTTGAAGCATCCATCTTGTATGAAAACTGCTGTTTGAAATTTTAACCCTATTTGGCTTCTGTAGATTTATCCTTCTCCAGACAAGGTCATCAGTGCTAGCACCAGGCCAGGCCTCTGGTTGAGGTCTCAAGGCCCCAGTACACACTGGCTCTTTAAGAACTTGCAAAAGGGGGCCGAAAACACTCCATATTTGGGAGACAAAGAAGGTAAAATCATATAAATAGAGAGAATTTCTGCATGTTGGGGCCCAGAATTTAAGATACATTTTCCCCTGGACCTGCGCATAATAAATGTATTAATAACTCCATCTCTCTAAGCATTGCTTTGCTCTTCTTCGGTTTTCTGTAACATTTACTGGTTCCCTGACCTAGAAATAACGTTTGGCCTCGGTGAATGGGCCAGGTGTGGGGCCGGGGAGCAGGAAAGGCCTCCAGGAGATGCTGCTCTTCTGATTTAGCAGAACTGACCCGAAGGACTCCAGGCGCTCCTGGGCCTCAGCCCAGGATCCGGCCAGCATCTGGAGAGAGTGTACAGGCACTTCTGGACCTGTCTACAGAATCTGTAAGGTAGGGGCCCCATCAATTCAGCCCACTCCAAGTGAGTGGAAGCGGGAGCTTAATCACCTCCCGGGAGGCCATAGAGAGCTTCCTCAGGCAAATTAATCAGGAGTCAGGAATCAGGTGACTGTTTAAACTCTGGGTAAATATCTGGTAGAAGTAAAAAACTCGAACTAGCTAGTATATAAATGTGGGACTCTGTAGGTGAATGAAGGAATTAAGAGTTCACTCTGCTGTTTGTTTGTGTGGGACTAGCCAATTTATTACCGGGACTGGATGCAGTCTTAAGTTTCTCACCAAGACGTTGGTCGAGAATTCTGTTCTGGGACATGGGTGCCTGGAGTGTCCCCAAGACCATTTGGGGAGCTGGGCATTGTTGTGTTTACCTGCTCAGCTCCAATCTGGACTAGTCTGCTGAGAGAGTGTGAGTATGGTTGTTTGTCTGTGTTGGCATAATTATCTGTTCATTAAATGGTCTGTGTGAAGTGAAAGCTACTTTGTGTTAACTGGCTATACACATGGGAGTATTTGTTATCTCTTCCTGTGGTGTAAATTGTTTAGAGATAGGGCAGACCTGCTCTGGTGGTCTGCAAACGTCTTAAGCAGCACTGCTGAGTTATTTTTCTCAGAGATGTTTGCTCTCAATCACAGTGGAGGGAATCAGCCCATTTAGCTAATAAAAATGTCTCTCTAATTTTGCATAAGTAAGGGTTTCGTTTGCTCTGATTTATAAATTTGCTATATTAAATTGAAATTTTAAAGTACTAGGGTTAATTTAAAGGTATAAATTTGTGACATTTCAAGGAACAAAGAACTTTTATTTATGGCATTATTTGCTCTTTTGGTGATGGGAGACTTTCAGGACTAGGGCTCACAGCTCCGCAAAGCGGAGAGATTTACAGGCCTGTCCCTGCCTGTGACATCATAGTTCAACGTGAAACTAAGGCTGAAGTTATTATTAACTTGGACCCCTGATTCTAATAGCATTCGTAACTGGATTAAAGATCTTTTCTTTCAGGAGACCATCCAGGCTTTCAGCTGACAAGAAATCTCCCTACACACCCTTATCTTCCTCCTCCCTATCTTTCCAGACTAATAGTTATTTTTCCACAGGTCAAAACTCAGCCTTCGAAAGGGAGGACTGCTATAGTGGTAGTCTGTAGTTTTCTCTGAAACTCCCACTGTTTCTGTTTCTCCTTTGTAGAAATTGTCTTCCTCTGACTCACAATCGGAAAGGGAGACAAGCAACTGGACTGGGGGACGGGACAGGGTGGGGAAGGGGTGGTCAGAGAAATCAAGAGTAGTAAAGGAGGAGGGTTTAAGATCCTCTAAGAGTCTAGGGGCTTAGAGTTAAAATGTATGAGGGAAACCAACGGTTACAGATTTGAATGAGAAAAAAATATCCTTAAATGTAAAAAGCCTGGTTATACAGGATCTCAGATCGCTTGCCTTATTTCCCCTGCTAAGGACAGAGTAAATGGTTAATGCAGAGAAGGGGAGGGGGTGTCAGCAGTTAATTATGAAGCTGGGAGAGACAGGGTTTTATTTTTTACTGGCTGCAGACCTCTGCTGGCCTAGGTGTCTTATCAGAACTTCTAGCTTCCCTGGTGATTTAAAACTGATTGCTAGGCAGACTCATCCCCTAAGAGCCAGATGAAAGAAGGGGGTGAGGGGGGCTGGATGCCTGAGCTGCCTGCAGTGGCCTGGATCTATGAAAACGGAAGCTAGAGCTAGTGAAAGCTCCCTGTTTGCAAATGTACTGAAAGGGTTCAGTACCTGTTGCTGCTGGAAGAGGAGGGGCTGAGATCCCCTTCCAGTGCCATCCCTTGGGAGAGGCCTGGTCGCTGCTCTGCCATGAAGGGGACTGGCAGAAAGACAAGGGGCCTAATACCCAAGCCACTGCCACAGAAGCGCTTTGCAATATGCTAAGCTGTTTCTAGTTAGTTACAACTCTGGCTGTTTTAGAATGGCAGCTTAAAGTTAAAGAGCAAAGGAAAGGCACTTTCTCTGGACCCGGGAGCCTTCAAGACTTTGAGACTCTCCAAGAGAGGAGCTTGACTGAGGGATGGCAGAGACCCTGTTGGGTTAGAAGGACCTAAGGCCACATGTTAAGCTTATAAATTACAGCTTTCTAGGCAGATGTCCAAGCCCAGTTATATAGGGTTAAGCTGCCTGTTTACAACAAAGCAACTTTCTCCCATGCTAGAATAAATTTCAGGGAAATTAGGTAGGCTGTGTTTGTGGCTAGAAAGAACTGGCCACCATGCACAGCCCTGACAGTGGCCTGCAGAAAACTGTATAATAGACTTAGATGATGCCTGCATCTTCATGGGCATGACTCCAGAAATACAAGGACAATTTTGCTTTGTGTGGGAAAGTCAAGAAGACTTTAGTCACCTCCCTAAGATATTTATTTAGCCCTACCATGTGTGATATATGATAGCAGGAGATTTGGTTACCTAAGGTGGCCACAGTGCCAATATTAAACTTCATTGTGTTAATAATATTGCATTAACCTTATAGATTTGAATGCAGTTTCCAAAAGGGCAGGTGCCCAAATGGGCAAAGAAAATACCCATCTGATTTTAGTCTCTATTGAAAGACAGTTGGCAGCCTTGCAGGACTGTGTGACCATGTCCATGTCAGGTATGGCAAAAACCTCAACTTTAGGAAACTGGAAGGCCTGTTTGGAACAGAGGGAAGTGGGGAGTACCAGCCCTTTGTTACAGGAATTACAGACCCCATGAGGTCCTGTGACATGTGAGACCCTGTAAAGCAATAAAGCTCCCTTTCTCAGCGGGCATGTCACCCCTCCCAGAGACCATATGACAGGTCAAGTAGGGAGGAGCCCTACTATTAGGACAGCTAAAATTGTCTACTTGAAAATAGACACATTTTGAATTTCTCCTTATTACTTAAAGCCAGTTATATTACTCTGAAGAATCCATAGAAAGGACTGACAAGGAAAATCAGAAGATCTTAAAGCAGGTCAGTATATTTTTCTCCTTATATAATTCCTCTGAAATTTGGCAATGCTTAATAAATCATGGCAATACATTTCTCTGCATAAACTCAATAAGACCGGTTTCTAATAGTGGTTTTATTGACCGCAAACTTTGACTGTAGTGTCATGTTTTAAAGAACCCTGTCTGAACTCTGAAGACTTGAAGCCAATAAGAGTGCCAAGGAAAAGCCTGGTATCCTGCTTGGAAGCCCTGAAAATGGCTGGTGCTGGAGCAGTCAAGGTCAATGGAATCCCAATGTGACTTCATCACACCCGGCTTAAGACAGCCTAGGAAAAATTTAGAGTTCAGGACTCTTCAGACTCTCTAAAGATTACTCCTGGCCCTCATTGCAGGCCCTTATCTTATAAGCAGGCCCCCTAACTTTATTAGGCAGAAATTTAAGATTATAGTCCTCAGGGGTAAATATAACTACAATAACTGAGTCAATGATTTGATTCATGTACATAAAACCAGTGGAAAATGTAGCAAGTTTAACATCTATAAAGAAGGTTTGATTTTTTTTTTTTATATTGCTCAATTAACCTCCTGAAATCTTGCTCTTGAAGTCTTGGTCAATATTTTCTTTTAAATTTATAAATAGGCATTTGCACTTTCTTCTAGTTCTTTTCTCATTTTCTATATTTAAAATTTTTAATCTGGAATTTATTTTAGTCTAGTTACTTTTCTCCAAATACTCAACAGAAAATTCCACCATTTTTAATTGAACTTTTCCTACACACATGAAATATCACCAATATCAATTTCTAGAGTCTTATATATATTTGGGGTGTTTGGGAATTTTCCATTCTATTCCAATCATTTATTTGTAAATAAATAATTTGTCAAAGTTTATATCAGATGTTGATAGCTAGAAGGGTAAACCTGTGTGTGCTATACAAAATTTTCTTAATTTCCTCACAACAATGAAAGATAGCATGTAACTGAAATAATTTTAAAACATATTTATTTGGTTGTAAAATTGATAAACACAGGAAGAACACACACTTTGAGAAAGTGATTCTTTCTAATCAGGACCACAGCCATCTTCCCACTTCAAAGTTCCTTCTGAGGTCCCTCCATAAAGAACATAGGTGCACAATGATATAAAGCAGATATTGGATTTTACCCGAAGAACATTTAGCCCAGAAGTTGATCAGTTATGGGAATTATTTCTCTCATTATGCATTTTTCTATAGCATGTAATATTACAGTGTAAAAATGTGTACATCCTATATAATAGAAGCCTTATATGCATATCCACAGAACAACCACTATGATGCACACTGACCACCAGGGGACAGACGCTTAATGCAGGAGATAAGCCTGGTGGTCAGTGTGCTCCCACAGGGAGAGCTTCACTCAGCCAGAAGCCTGGCTCAAGGCTGGCAAGCGCAGTGGGATGACAGGAGACTCTTCTGCCTCTGCAGCAGCACTAAGGATCAATGAGCAGGCAGTTGGTAAGGAGCTAGGGGTCCTGGATGGTGAAAGGGTACAGGCTGGGCTGAGGGGTTTTGTGTACCAGGCCTCTAGTCTATTACAAAATGTTGTATATACTTAATTTTGTTTCCAATATTGATATATCAGTCAAATGTTCTATAGGAGGAATTGTGAGTGGGTCCTTTTGTTTTTGCTCATAAAGTTGGTCTGAGGGCTAGACCCCAGGTCAGGTGTTCCCTGGAGAGGAGCTGTGGGGCCCTGGGAGGAAAGTCAGCCCAGCGCCCTGGCTGACAGGAGACTGCCCTCCAGCTGCTGAGCCAGAACCACCCACCTCCTCCCAGTGGACCCCAGGCCCCAGTCTCCCAGTCCCCATTACCTGCTCATCCTGTCCCTATCATTCAGGCCACTTTTCCTGAAAAATAGGATTTGCTTCACTTTCCGCACGTTGCCCACGCTGGCAGCTTTGTGGATTGCTCCCATATCTTTTTCTCGAAAGAGAGGCCTTTTGGCTCCCACACCACTGCTCCCAGGTTGGGTGGGGGAGTCCATGGCCACCATGCGGGGACTTCTCAGAAAAGAAAACACCTTGTTCATGGCAGAGAGTCAGGGCTTCAGAGAAGCCTCACCTTCCCTCCGCTTTTCACTTTTCGCGCCTCCTGAGCTCAATACCAGCTCTCTAGCCAACCACCTCACGCCACAGCATTCAAGCAGGGCAGTTTGGCAGTTTAGCATCTCTCCTCTCGGAATCATAGTAACCAAGCAACGGCCTCTGACATCACTAGGCATGTGCATAGGGCCTTGTGGTCAAGGATAGCCAGACCCCATGTGCAAGGCCCAAGTAACTCAAATCTCAGAGAATGCCTGGTGGGTGTGTCTCCCTGGTTAGAGCTTCAGCCCAAGCACCAGAGGGTGGCAGGTTCCATAATTAGTCAAGGGCTGAACCGAAGTTGCAGATTAGAGCCCTGGTCCCAGTCAGGTGCATTCCAGAGGCAGTCCACCAAGGTCTCCCTCATATTGATGTCTCTCTCTCTCTCTCTCTCTCTCTCTCTCTCTCTCTCTCTCTCTCTCTCCCTCTCCCTCTCCCTCTCCCTCTCCCTCTCCCTCTCCCTCTCCCTCTCCCTGCACTCCTCCTCCCTCTCTTCCTTCCACAAAGAAACAATTAATGGAAATAATATTCTCAGTGAGGATTAACAAAAATTAAATTTTTTTTTAAAACTTAGTGATTGCCTGTGGGCAGGTGTGGGTTCTGTTCCAACACCCCTGGGAGTTGGCCAAGTGTTTGCAGAGGCTTGCAATAGTTACCCCAGTAAAACAGCAGTCTTTGCCTAAGACCAGGGCTAAGGTGGTGTGGAACTTCAGGACGGCCAAGGTCTGGTCCCCCAGAAAACTCCCCTTAAAAACATCTCTAACTCTCCCAGTTCCCTAGTTTATCTGTTCCACACTTCTCTGGCCCCAGCCAATCTCCAGGGAATTTAGTGGAGGCAACAACAGAAGGATGCTTTCATGGTTTCAGAGACTGTGGCAATGTGTCTCTGCAGGTGCAAATTTATGGGAAACCAGTGCCTGTTCTGCAGATGAAAGCACCTTTCCGCAGGCCTCTTACTCCTCCCCCTTTCGCCCTTTATAATACATTGCATTTCTCCAAATAAGTCTTTAATCCACGATTTATTTTGGAGTCTGGTGTTCACATTTAAGAACTTCCTTAAAAAATGGCTATTCACCTGCCCCAAACCACCTTTTCTAGCCTAGTTTAAAATGTCACTTCACTGTGCATTATTAATACTCTCTGGTTGTTTTGTTTTTTGGGTGGTCTGTTTTATCCATCGAATTGCCTGCTTCTTTATGCATCTGCACTGCACGATTTTAACTTCTTTATAAAATGTAGTATTTTAATTTCAATGTTCTCCCTCATTATTCTTTTTCTGTCACCTCCTGGCAATATTTATCTTGAAATTATTTGAAATTAAGTTTTAATCAGTATTCCAAGTTAAAAAAAAAAAAAAAAACTTAGTGAGATTTTAATTAGCTTGAGAATTAACTTTAACTGACAATCTCTTGAATCAGTATATTCAGATACATATGTCTCTCAATTAATTTAAGTCCTATTATATGTTTTTAGCTTTTCGTTTTTTGGTGTTTTTTTTTATATATCTTTTAAAATACTCTTAGAGAGAAACTTCTGTTGCCCCACTTATTTATGCTTTCATTGGTTCCTTCTTAGATGTGCCCGGTCTGGGATTCAAACCCACAGCCTTGGAATACCTGGACCATGCTCTAACCAACTGAGCTCCCAGGCAGGCTGATACTTTCATTTTTGGATTTTTGTTTTTTGTGGTTGTTGCTGACACTATTAGTGATGTGGTAGGTGTTTTCCTTGTAAATCTTGTCCACTTCACACATACCAGGGATTTTCCATTTTTTATTGTGATGGAATATTTTCCCACTATCATTATAAATGATTATAAGTATTTGTACAACTGACAATCTGATTGAAGAAATTTTCAAGCTATAATTTTGTAACTGGTGAAGGAGTTGACAGTTTATGGCAGTTTTGCAGGGAAGGCAAACTAGATGGTAAAGATTTCACCAGAAATCTTTATTGAGGAATTTTATGATGTAATATTGAGGAATTTTATGATGCAGATGAAAAAAATAAAGTAAAATGCAAGCAAGAGGGGTTGTTTTTATTGAAGGGTAAGATAATTCCTCAAATCCCATTAGCCACATCCTTCAGTAATGCCCTTATTGAGCTTATCATCTTCACCATTAGGAAGCCTCTTATGCTCCAAACATGTTCCATATTCTTTAAGATTTACAAAGTTAAAGTCTAAATACTCATTTCCCCTTGCTTTCATCTTTCTCTATCAGCAACTCCTGTCTTTCCATCTTTATTCTATTTCTTAGGAAGGTAAAATAGGTTGACTCCATATTCCAGAGTAACTGGTATAAACATGTATCAATAGTTCTTAATCCAGCAATTACAATTAGACTACACCTGCTATGGTGGATGCGATGCACAGGAACAGGAGCAGGCACACAGCAACAACTAATGCAAACCCAGCTAACTCAGAACTTACCACATTCCTACTACATTTTCTAATGAGTTCAGGAGCTAGCCAAAATGAAAAATAACAGAAACCAAGACTGCATAAAATGCACCAGGAAAATGTGAACCTTTGGTAAACCTTACAGCAAGACAAATACATAGGTTTTAATTTAGGTAACGTATTTTCCGGCATATAAGACGACCCCCTAATTTTACAGTGAAAACATAGGTTTAGGCCTATATTCGCTGTATAAGACTACCCCGCACTTCCGAGGCAACACCAGTTCTTTTTTTAATAGACCGCCTCTCTGACTCTGGCCAATCTGAGCAGGCCTTTTACTAGAACACAGTGTAGCTTCGGGTACAGAACATGTATAATTTGCATGCATAAAAAGCCTGCTCAGATTGGCCAAAGAGGCGGTCTATTAAAAAAAACTGGTGTTGCCTCGGAAGTGGGGGGTAGTCTTATACAGTGAATATAGGCCTAAACCTATGTTTTCACTGTAAAATTAGGGGGTTGTCTTATACGCCCGGTCGTCTTCTACGCCCGAAAATACGGTAGTTATTCTTCTGTTGCTATTTATTGCCATTTTGTTCTTTGATTCAATAGTTTACAAAATTGCTTGGGATGAAAACTCAGAAGCTGAGTGACTGGATCTTCCGCAAAAATTGCTGCTGGTGAAAGGTCCCTGCTGAGGGACAAGTGCCTTCATTGGTAAAAGAACAAACCAACAAGAAAAAATTCTCAGGACGACTTAGCTATTAGACCAACTCTTCTTCTTCTTCTTCTTTTGTGTGTGTGTGTGTGTGGTTTAAACCACGTGTCAAACACAAGGCCCGCGGGCCAAATCCGTCCCGCCAGGCCTTGCAATGTGGCCCGCACCGCGCTGTCATCACTACACTCTGCTGCGTTTCCATCACAATGACAGTTTATGACTGTTCAGTAAACCATTCGGCCCGCGATTTAGGCTGGATTTTAGATTTTGGCCCCCTCTCTGATTGAGTTCGACACCCCTAGTTTAAACTATGATCACCAAGCTTTTGCCTCCTACAGCAGCCCAATTAGAAAATGATCTACTGTACCCTATTTGCTCCTCAGATTTACAGGAGAGGCGCTCTGTAGTGACATGTGAAGAGAAGGCTGACATTCCTGATTCAGCCTACAGTGAGGATCAGAGACATGACCCGGCTGCAGAGAGGTAGGAGGCAGTCACCAGGACTTCAGGTCAGTGGACCCTAGTGTCTCTCAATGGACCAGTACTCAGAGTAAATGTTAGACCAACTCTGAGTTTCTGTGTTTCCTTGGTCAAATGAGTAATCGGAATTTAAAAATTCCCCATTCCCAGATTTTTGTAGAACTAATATTGGACCCAGAGCAGATGCCTGTAGAAAGGTGTTGCTTGGAATCCTCATGCCTATTGAAGTCTCAAATAATGCCCTGGTTCAGCCTCCCTGCACACTCATTAAATTTACGCTAATGGAATTTATAATGTGTAGACTAGTATTTGTTTTGTGATGAAAAATGACTGAGAGATGGATGCCTTACCAATCCCTTAGCAAAGGTTTTCCAATTCCAGTTCAAAGGTTGTCATTAATGTGTTTTCCCTGTAAGAGTAACCAAGAAACATGGGTAACTCTTTTTGGAAATGATTCATTCAGTCTCTGGGATGTGCAAAATCAGGGCAGGCTTGAAAATGATCTGAACATTGAATGTCCTTGTGAGCCAACACACAGATCCACCAGCAGGAGGAAGTCCTGGCTGATGAGATGTAAAGAGAAGGTTGGTCCAAGATTTGGCTAAATGCCAGGCAATGCAGACCTAGCAATAAACCTTAAGCAGCAAGATTTAAACATTCTATAAATGAACAGACATGAATGGCTACACATTCTAGCAGGGACAAACTTCACAAATTTGCTGGAGGCAACTTACTAAACAAAACAATGACAACCCTCTATAAAGAAAATCAACTCCATATTGCAACACTAGCTGAAGTTCAGTAAGTTTAGAAAGAAGAAAAAAAAAGATTAGAAAACAAAGAAATAAGAAAGTGTGACCCTTACTAAGGAAGAAATAAAAACTATCTCCTCGAGATGTTGAATTTATCATAGGCTTAAAAGCATCTGTTGTGAACTTGTCATGTTTAAAGAATTAATGAAAGAACCAAGATTGTGGAATAGATAAACACCTATACTGGTTGCCTCTCACAACCACATCAAAATTACAACTAAAAGGCAGAACTATCACCCAGAACTACAGGAAAGCTGGTTGAGCAGAAGTTCCACAACTAGAGTTTTGAAGAAAGCGCATTAAGACTGGTAAGAAGTGAGGAGGCACGGAAAGTGCTGGCACCTGGATGTGCTGCTCTTTTAATTGGGAGGGAGATACAAGCTTATACTTGCTCTGAACTCCAGGTCTGGAAGCAACTCTAGGGGACCCAGACACATACGGAGAGAAACTGGACTGTCTGGCATTGGAATTGTAATGTGAGGGCGGCTTTCTCTCAGAGGTGCTTGCAGTGATCATTGTTCCTGCACAGAGGCATGGGATGCAAAGACCTAGGGACCGCTCTGGTACAGGGCTGACTGGGAGCCATTGCTATTTGCTCTACCCTGGAGATTCCCAGAGATCCCGCCCTACCCAATTTACAACCCTACCCAAACTGTGCACATCAGCTTTTGCATATGAATGGCCTGTCCTTTCTCTGCCTAAAAACCTGTCAAATTGCAGCTGGATCAGAGAGCCCCAGAACTTCCAAAAGAAGGCCCAAGTCCCAGCAGCAGCAGCCTGCCTTGCTTCACAGCTGAGCCTCGTCTGGCCACTTCCAAACCCCATACAAAGAGGAGGAATCTGCAGATGTCTTTGTAGCTACTGCTGGCATGCCCAAACAGTGGGCTGACCTTGCACCTCCTTGGAGATCCAAGAGCCAGTGTACCCAGTGGTCAGAGTGAGACCATACCAGATTACAACTCTCCACATCCATAAGAGACACACTCAAGGGGCAGACTCAGCATCAAAATCCTGCTGTAGCAAGTCCTGCCCAATAAGGGTGTCTCCTGTGCAGCAATCTTCCAGTATAGACTCAGCTGATCATCACAGCCAATTGGCCTGGAGGTCCATTCCCCTCAGTGATATCAACAGCAATTAAGGGTTAACTACAATAAAACTGCAAACAACCCACAAAGGTATGTACCAAGAGCATCCACCTCAGTTGACTGCGGAGGCTGAGCCACTGAGCCCTATAGGAAACCTACCACACAAGGCCACTCTATCAATCAAGGAGACTTAGCAGCTACCCAGTACATAGAAACAAACACAAGGAAGCAGCCAAAATGTGGAGACAAAGAAGTCACAAATGAAAGAAATGGATAAAAGCAAAATACTGGATATAAAGTTCAAAACCACTATTATAAGGTTATTCAAGAATATTCTAGAAACCTCCAAGAAATTTAGTGAGACCCTCAAGGATATGAAAAAGGACCAACTAGAAATTAAGCCTACACTGACTGAAATAAAGAATAATATACAGAGATCCAACAGCAGACTCGAGGATCCCAAGAACCAAGTCAAAGATTTGAAATGCAAAGAAGCAAAAATACCCAACTGGAAAAGCAAAAGGAATCCAAAAATATGAAGACAGTGTAAGGAGTCTTTGGGACAACTTCAAGCATACCAACATCCAAATTATGGGGGTCCCAGAAAGAGAGAGAGCGCGCAAGATATTGAAAACCTATTTGAAGAAATAATGACAGAAAACTTACCCAACCTGTCGAAAGAAACAGACTTACAAGTCCAGGAAGCACAGAAACCCCAAACAAGAGGAATCCAATGAGGACCACAGCAAGACACGTCATAATTAAAGTGCCAAGGGCAAAAGAATATTAAAAGTAGCAAGAGAAAAACAGTTTCCTACATGGGAGTACCCATATGACTGTCAGGTGACTTCTCAACAGAAACTATGCAGGCCAGAAGGGAGTGGCAAGAAATATTCAAAGTGATGAACAGCAAGAACCTAAAACCAAGATTACTCTCCCCAGCAAAACTATCATGAAGGTCAGATAAAGAGCTTCACAGGCAAGAAAAAGCTAAAGGAGTTCATCACCATCAAACCAGTATTATATGAAATGCTGAAGGGTATTCTCTAAGAAGAGGAAGAAGAAGAAAAAGGTAAAGATAAAAAATTATGAACAACAAAGTGAAAATAAATAAAGATATATCAACAAGTGAATCTAAAAGTCAAATGAATAAAAAAAAATGAGGAACAGTACAGATTGGTGAATGTAATAGAATCAGGGGCATGGAAAGGGGGCAGACTGACAATTCTCGAGGAGGAAGGGGTTGTGGGGGTGGAGGAAGAGACTGGACAAAGAGCTGACACCTATGGATGAGGTCAGTGGGGGTTGGAGGGAGGAAAGGCCTGGAGTGGGGTGGGAACTAGGTGGAGGGGAGCTATGGGGAGAAAAAAGAGGAATATCTGTAAAAATCTGAAAAATAAATATTTTTTTAAAAAAGTCAAAGCTGAGAAAAACTTCTTAAAAATAAGAGATAAATAACCTATCACCAAAGGAGACCAAAATTTTGATTAATAGCTAACTTCTTTCCAAAAATAATGTAAGTATATCCAGCATAACATATTCAAACTTATTTTAAACAAAAAACTGCCAGTCTAGCATGGCTCATTGGTTGAGCTTTGACCTATGAACCAGGTCACAGTTCAATTCTCAGTCAGGATGCATGCCAGGGGTGCTGGCTGATTTCCAGTAGATGGCATTCAGGAGGCAGCCAAACAATGATTCTCTCTGATCACTGATGTTTCTCTTGCTCTCCCTTCCTCTCTGAAATCAATAAAAAATATATATTTTTTTAAATCTTTAAAAAAATAAAAAGTCAGTCCCTATATTATGCTAAACCCAGCAAAACTCTTTAAAAAAGGCAAATTAAAGATATTCCAAAGAAACACTAAAAATATAAGATAGCAGTATAATATTGTATTGTTGAGTTCTAATATATAAAGATATTACAAATGACAATATTAGCACAAAGAGAAGAAAATACTAAAATATAGTTAATCCATGTTACTAGAATTAAATTTGTATTATTTTGAAGTATACTGGGATAAAGTGATGTGTATTATCATCCTTAAAGCAATCACTAAAATATAACTTAAATAAAAGAGGAACACAGGGGACCTGTTTAACTATGAGAAAAACAGAAAACAAGCTCTACCAATGAGCCAAACCAGCTTCGGCAAAAAAATGAAATAGCAGATATTATAAACAACTATATCAATATTATAATAAATATGAATGAATCTTACCCAACTGAAATAACAAAAGAGATTGTCAGAATGGATTTTAAAAAGGCAAGATCCAGCTGATAAAGGTCTTGTAGTCATAGTATGTGATTTCTTAAAATGCATAAGATAAGCAACAGTGCAATATACAAATGGTGATGTACTGTAGAACTGTATATCAGAAACCTATATAATTTTACTGACTGATATCACTCTAATACATTCAAATTTTTTTTTTAAACAGAAGACTATAAGAAGTACTGTATAATATATTGACACACTGAAACCCTCAAACACTGGTGAGTGGAATATAATATTGTTGTATAGTTATTTTGGAAACAATTCCTCAGTGTCATAAAAGTTACCATATGACTGACCAACTTTAATCCCAGAAGTCTAGCAAGAGAAATGGAACACAAATACACACAATGGCATGTACACACATATACACATACACACACAAAGAGGGAGAGGGTAGAAGGGAAGAAAAGAGAAAAGGGGGGGGCAGCAATAGAAAATTAGGCAAATGAACACAATTAATGAATCTCTGTCAAGAGAATATGGAAGTTATTTCTATTATTCTGTTAACATTTCTGTAAGGTTGAAATTACAACAAATTTAAAATTATTTTTTAAAAGGGCACAAATATCATGTGGCAAGTTCCTGTAATCAACATCCTCAATGAAGACATATAAGGCTTAAAAGTTATTAGAAAACTGCAGGTAATTTTAATAAAATCACTTCAAGAATATAATTTGGTTAAATATAAAAAGCAATAAATATTCTAAAATAATTTTTCTATTGAGTTAAATAAATTTGTAAATCCTGTAACAGCATGTTCATATTCACAAAATCTGAACAAAAAACAAACACAATTTTCCATTTCTGATACAGTGTAATTCAAAAGTTCATTTTGAAGGGGACTGAGCTTTTTATCTAATTTTACTTTCAATATCAAGCATCATTATATACTTATTCAAAATTGGAAGTGTCATTTTTTTAGTTAACAAGACTGCAGTCCTGAAATAAATTTCATTAGTGACCATGATATTGTTAAAAAAAAAAAAAAAAGGGGGGGGGGGGGCCACAAAAATGCAAAACATTTTTAAAAGTTTATAATCAATTAAATTCTGATTGTACCTTTACATTTACAATTCACTATTTTTAAGATTTTAAAAAAAATACAATTTTATATGTGGACAATCTGGAGCATAATTAAGTGTATCTTAATGAAGTTTCCACAGATGTATGTAGAAATATGGTTTACCAGCAGCCAAAAAGCTTCATTTCTTTATTAAAGATCAATGGTACTACCTAGAAATGAGGATAATTCTTCAACAATATCATTTTTTCTAAGTAAGAAGACTTCCAAGGAGCTCAAGGCACAATTTTATTCACATCTAGTAGAATAACCCACCATAAAATCATTATTTATGTGCAACTAAATAACTGATGGACATTTCTCAAACAAACTGTTTCAATCCTGATAGTTCTTTATTTTCTTTAACATAGTTGCTATAGATTGCTAATTTGCAATAGGTGTCATCATGAGAATAACCAAAAGTAGATAAATGTGACAAAAGGTTGACAGTGTTTCACACCCTTGAATGATACCAGGTCAAGAATGGGAGAGAAGTGTTGCAAAAGGAGAGTACTGCAATGCTACTTATATTCTTGCAGTAAAACCAGCAACGGACTCATTTCAAGAGAGATCACCTCAATTCCAATTTCTTCCCCTCAAGAACAATTTGAATCTCTTTGGCATCCAAAGTCTCATAGGTCAATAAAGCTTCTGCTAAATTCTTGTGCTCTTTTGCATGAGTCTTCAAGATATGTTTTGCTCGTTCATAGGAGTCCTAAAATAGAAAAGCAGATCTATAAGAGGCAAAAAACAAAACAAAACAAATACAAACCCAAACCTTAAGAGAAGCAAAAACCATAAATGATAAAATAAAAAATCTATGTACTCTAAAAATGTGAAATCAATTTCTATTTATAAAAATAAAAGCATTTAAAATTTTTACTTATTGATTTTAGAGGGAGAGAGAGAAACATCAATTTGCTGTTCTACTTATTGATATATTTATTCATTGGTTGATTCTTTTTTTCTTATTTAATCCTCATCCGAGGACATGGATAGTTGTGTCTCTCTCTCTCTCTCTCTCTCTCCCCCACTCCTCTCTCCTTCTTTCCCCTCCACCCCAGCCTCACCCCTTCCACTCTTTCTAAAAATCAATGAAAAAAATATCCTCAGGTGAGGATTAACAAATAAATAAATAAATCATGGTTGAAATAGTGCACCTATTATCTTTATTATCTTTATTTCTAAAGAACAAAAGGGTTCAGTTGTCATTTGGTAAGCACCCAACTATTTAGGCACATTATGACTAAATAAATAAATATAGAAAAATATGATAATTACCTTCAGAAGGATTCTGATTTCTTGTTCAATAGCTGATTGTGTTTCTGGACTTAGTTTCCCTGTATCACTGTAGGTCATAACTCCAAGCTAAAACAAAAGGGAAGAAATTGAACAGAAAATAAAACAAAAACTCCACAAATAAAACCTAACAGAGGAAGTACCATCCTATACATAAGAAAACCAATTTCATGGGGAAAATTAAGAAATCCTATATAAAATGGCTTTAAGGGCAAATAAATTTATCATTTTTCTGAAAGTATAACACTAAAACTAAAATGTGAGCAAGACAGAAAATTTAAAATCGTAAGTATGCTTGTGAGCGCCTTCTTAGAAATCTTGGCAGCTATTCCAAGTCCAGAAATCCACAATTCAGAGTATTAGAATTGCTTCATGGAACCACAGTGATAATGCAAGAAAGTGATATACGTGAAAAGGGTAAAATATGGCAGGCTCAGCAAGTATATTTTTTACGTCATATGAATAGAAACGGCTAAAGAATTTGTCTTATTATTTTGTTAACTCATGAATGAATAATTATTAGTGTTCAAGTGGCTAGAATGAAAACAATACTCAATTACCCAGAAAATAAGATTTAGTTTAGAACAGTGGTTGGCAAACTCATTAGTAAACAGAGTCAAATATCAACAGTACAATGATTGAAATTTCTTTTGAGAGCCAAATTTTTTAAACTTAAACTATATAGGTAGGTACATTGTTATTAACTTAATTAGGGTACTCCTAAGCTGGCCCTTGCTAAAAACTCAAGGGGCCAAAGAGCCACAAATGGCTCACGAGCTACGGTTTACAGACCACTAGTTTAGAATAAGATAACTCCATTTGGAATGAGACAGAGGAAAGTAAATGTTATCAATTTATAATGAAAACTCTCTCTCAAGAGACATTTGGCACATATCATTTAAGACATAAGGAACAATAACATTAGCCAATACCTTTTCACTCATTCCAAATTTGGTAACCATCCACTTTGCTATTTTAGTTGCATTATCGAAATCACTGGAAGCACCTAAAATTTAAAAATAAAGATAGGACTCATTTAAAAAATATCTTTAAACCAACAAACACAATTTGAACTAACGCCATTTTTACAACCAACCTGTTGTAATATGGTCAGTCCCAAATATAAGCTCCTCTGCCACTCTTCCTCCCATACTAACATCCATTTGTGCAAGCAGCTGAGCCCTGGTTTCATTCCACCTGTCATTCTCAGGCAACAGGGACACCTAGACAATTGAAAAACAGAAAAAAATTTCAGAGAGTTTTAGAACACCTACATTAATAACTAGAATTATCATCTGGCCCTCTCACCTTACTTAATATTAATACCATGATGCTGAAAGCCCAAAGATTTTTATTAGAGATGACCATCAGGTGACTGATGGAAAAAACAGCCATTTATAAAATAAGGAAAACTTTATAAATGTATTTATAAGGCAAAATACATTTTATAAATAACGTAGATAAAGCTGATATAGGACTCTTCTATCCTCTGTTGCACAAAAATGCTTAAAATCTCTACAATTAGAAAGATATGAGAACAAACTTTGTACTCAATAAGAAAACTCTTAGAAAAACTACTGAGTCAGTACATAATTTCTTTAGTGGGAGGAAAAAATGCAATTACATAATTAAGAATTACAATTTGCTGCTATTCCAGAATTAAATTTCATATTGAAATATATAGTAATATCAAGGATATTCTTTATTAAAAGATAAATTTCACAAGTATCTCTAATTTCAAGATGGTTCAGGATGTTAAAGAAAATATCAACAGCCCTAGTTGGTTTGGCTCAATGGATAGAGCATCAGCCTGTGGACTGAAGGGCCCCGGGTTTGATTCTGGTCAAGGGCACATGCCCAGATTGTGCGATGTGCAGGAGGCAACCAAACAATGACTCTCTGTCACTAATGTTTCTATCTCCCTTTCCCATCCTCTCTGAAATCAATTAAAAAATATATTTTTTTTTTTTTTAAAAGAAAAGATCAACAACCCTAGGTGGGTTGGCTCAGTGGATAGAAGATTTCCATTTCAGTCAAGAGCACATGGCAGGTTGCAGGCTCAATCCCAGTGGGAGGCGTAAAGGAGGCAGCCAATCGATGTTTCTCTCTCATCATTGATGTTTCTATTTCTCTATCCCTCTCCCTTCCTCTCTGAAATCAGTAAAAATATATATTAAAAAATATGTACGAAAATATCAACAAATTTAGCAAATAGCTGAATGTTGTTTTAAGGGGATTTTATCAGCAATTTCATACATATGCTTCTGGAAAGTGCTATCTGAAAGCAAAGAAAAACTGCAAGATACTTACATGCCCAAGTGTTGGCCCTCGAGGCATGATCGTAGCTTTGTTGATAGGCATTGCATCTTTAGTGTAATATGCAATAATAGCATGGCCAGATTCATGATATGCAGTGATGGTTTTGTTTTTGTTATCGATTTCCACACTTCTACGTTCAGGCCCTAAAAGCAAAAAATTAATCAGGTTAAATGCTCTTATTTTGTTCAAAAATAAGTACAATTGCACAATACATATTAACTACAACAATGTGTACTGAAAACCAAAATTATTAGAACTATCATCTTACTCTCATAGCCAAAGGGAAAACTTATATTTCTAGAAAATAAACTTTCAATTTAAAAGGGATGTCTTATCTAACCTATTTTGAAGCCAATTCTTGAGTTACAATAAAAAATACTAAGAAATGTATCCCAAATGTCCATGTATCCCAAACAAGTATCCTATATAACAGAGGCAATATGCAAATTGACACCCTCAAAAGATGGCTGCCTATGATCAAGCCAGCAAGGGGGTTAGTGAGGGACGACCAAACAATTGACCAGCAGGCTGCTTGGGGTGTCCAGGCCAGTAGGGGGGATAGTGAGGGATGATTAAACAACTGAACAGCAGACTGCGTGGGGCAACCAAGCCGGCAGGGGGATAGTTGGAGATAACCAGGCCAGCAGGGGGAGACAGCTGGGAGAACCAGGCTGGCAAGGGGGGAGTTAGGAGCAACCAGGCCAGCATGGGGGGACAGCTGGGGAGAACCAGGCCGGCAGGGGGGCGGTCAGGAGCAACCAGGCCAGCATGGGTGGTAATTGGGGGGCTATTAGGCTGGCAGGGGAGAAAGCCAGTAAGGGGCAACTAGGCTGAAGAGATGAGGCACCAGACCAGCGGGAGTGGCGGGTTGGGGATCAATTAGGTAGGAGCGACCAAGTTGGCAGGGAGGGGGCAATTGGTGATGACTTGGCCAGCAGCAGGGGACAGTTAGGGCTGCTGGCCAGGTCATTTGCACAGGTCATCAAAGGCAGGCAGGCAGGTGAGTGATTAGGAGCCAGCACTCCAGTATTGTGAGAGGGATGTCTAAGGATAGGGCCTAAACCAGCAGTTGGACATCCCGAGAAGTCCCAGATTGGAAAGGGTGCAGTCTGGGCTGAAGGGACACCCCCCCCCCCCCCAAGCCCCGGTGCACTGGGCCTCTAGTAATTATATAATCTACATTTATCTGTGAGAGGCCAAACTGTTTTTGCTACATTCAAATATATATTTTCATGTCCCTATATGTTTGTTTTTATTTTTTGTTGTTAATCCTCACCTGAGGATATTTTTCCCATTGATTTCTAGAAAGTATAGAAAGGGCCCTAGCCAGTTTGACTCAGCGTATAGAGCGGCCTGCAGATTGAAAGGTCCCGGGTTTAATTCTAGCCAAGGGTCCTGGGTTCGATTCTGGCCACATGCCCGGGTTGTGGGCTTGATCCCTAGTAAGGGGCATGCAGGAGGCAGCCAATCAATGATTCTCTCTCATCACTGATGTTTCTCTCTCTCCCTCTTCCTTACTCTCTGAAATCAATAATATAAATATTGATTTACAGTAAAAAATACTAAGAAATGAATCCCAAATGTATCCAAAATATATATATCCATATATATATATATATATATATATATATATATATATATTTTTTTTTTTTTTTTTTTTTTTTTAAAGAAATTATAGAAAGGAAAAAGTTGAGGAAAGTGTGAGAAGAAAATAGAGGAGGAAAGGAAGGAGGGCGGGGGAAGAAAGATAGAGAAAAACATTGATGTCAGAGAGGCACATCGATTAGTTGCCTCCCACACCTGCCAGATTGGGGCCTGTGATCTAACCTACAACCCAGGTGCATGCCATTGGGAATCAAACCCTCAGCCCTTCAATATTCAAGCCAAAATTCTAGCCACTAAGAAACACTGGCCAGGGCTATCTTTGTTTTTTGGTTTTGTTTTTTTAATAACCTCTCAAAATGAAGATTTATTCTCTAACATACTGAATAGTATAAAACAGGAAAAAAAGAAAACCTACCCATTAAAATTTTATCTTTGGAAAACTCAAGTTCTTTCATGGTAACCATTTCTTTTCCATCAACAGCTGCCTTTAAAGCAGCTTGGTTCACAAGATTCTCCAACTCTGCTCCAGAGAAGCCAACAGTACCTCGAGCTATGATTTCTGGATCAACAGCTGTATAGATATAACACAATATATAAAAGTCCCAAAACAGTCAACAGAAAATTTGCAAGGAAGAACTCAAATACCAAAAAAATAATAACAGCCATCCTGAACCATAATTTAAAATATATATCTTAATTATAAAACTAAAAAATAAATTTATTTTAATAATTTCTAAGGGAATAAAGTCAAAATAGTTATAAATATAAATATAAAACTGCCATTGGGACAAATAACAAAAGCTCTTAAATTTAAATAACTTTGTGAAAAAAATAAAGAAATGTAGAGTTATCTGATCATTTAAAAACCTTCAGTTATGGCCTACATCATTAGTGGCCTAATAACAAATCAAAGAAGCATAATTGTAAACATATCTTTTTCTAAAATTTCATTTTGAAATACTTTGGACATAAAAACTCCCTTTATTATGGAAAGCTTATTTGTGTTTATTTTTAACACAAGTTATTATTAACTTGATTCAGTTATCTTTGAAAATACTGCAGCTGTAATAGCTGCATTTATTACTCAGGTTGGTCTATGATTTTTCGTTTCCGTGTGCTTTGTTTTACAGGTGATTTTCCCTTCCTTAACACTAAAGTGACTATCTCATGAAATACTGTGGTCATAATGTGCAGGTGTTTTTCCCTATTATTTCATATTTTACATTCATCTTTAAAAACATACATATATTCATCTTTAAGTATTATCTATCTGAATATTCAAAAGAAAACTTTCATGAGAATCAGAATTCAAAATGATAAAATCTACTGCATATGCATTAAGTATGAAATGGACTTTTTTTTTTTAAAGGACTATAAATGAAAGAAAAAATAACTTACAAAGGAACTGACATTGCTTAATTAAGAAACACTAACTGGGTGGATTGGCATATTACCATTTTATGGAGATAACAATGTTTGGATCATGGAATAAGACTTACACTGATCAAATTTTATTTTATTGAGATACCATTTCAAAATTTCTGTTCGACCTCTTACATCTGGCCTTGGAACTGTAACCTGCATGTCAAAACGACCAGGACGAATTAAGGCACTAAGAGAGAATACACAAAGAAAATGAAAATTAGTAAGGTGACTATGTTGAAGGCAAGCTAAACAGGACCACCACACTAAGGAGAGGTTGGAAAGGCAATGCAACCAGAGGTTAAATGTAGTTTTGAACATAAGTATTCAGATAGTTCCTTATAAAACATGGCTCAAATAAGTTTTAATAAATGTGTGCCTACAGATAGCAGACACCCCTCAGAAACAAAATGTACAAGTCAATCAGCCAGAGAACAGATAATTCTATACCAGTCTATTAGAGTCTCAGGCAAAGACAAACTATTAGATGAAACAAAAATATGAATAACTTCTATAATAAAATCAATAAAAATTTAAAATTATACTAAATTTTATATATCATAAAAAGTTTTTGTGACATATAAGTTATCCAAAGATCCTTTTAACAGCTTTATTGAGATAACTTACATATTACCAAATTTAAAGTAGATAAGCCAGCATGCTCTTTCTCCCTCTTGAGCATTTTCCCTTCCCCCAGGCTCCTCTGTATTTCTTTTTCCTGCACTCCAAGTGCCCTTCTTTTTGCTTCCATGACTCCTTTCCTATGCCCACACAGCCCAGCTAGCTTACCTTTTCTATCTCTGTAACTTTCTGAATAAATTTTTCTCTTATAATTGAAAAAATAAATGGATAATTAAAAGCTCTTTAATATTTCAGAATTCTGTAACCATCACCACAATCTAATTTTAGAAATGTTCATGACCCCTCAAAAATAAAACACAAAAAGCCCATATCCACTGGAAGTCACTCCCCATTCTCCCCAGCCTCTGGCAACCATTAATCTACATACTTTTTGTTGCCCTGGATTTACTTATACTGGACATTTCATATAAAGGGAAGCATATATGATGTTCTGTGGTGGGCTTCCTGCCATTAGCATCATATTTTTAAATTTCATCCATAGTCCAACATATATCAGTACCTCACAAAAATTTTCTTTTAATACTTACTTATCTAATGCTTCTGGGAAGTTTGTGGCTCCTATGATGATAACTCCTTCATTGGGTTTAAAACTATTACAAAAAAACACACAAAAAAACAGTATCTTTTCACTAAAAATTAAAACAGCACACATATATAAATGTTCTACATAAAACTACTTATCATTAATCTTAATAACAGCAAAGAAAAAGGATTGGTATTTTTATGCCCCAAATGCTATCTCTATTTTTTAAAAGAAAAAATATTAGCCCAGTATACTTTACTACAACTGCTAATATATAATCACCAAATCATCTGTGATTATATACCCACACAATTACTTGTTTTACTTAGAAAGAAATGACCTGACACAAGAA